ATATTAGGCTAATCTGATATATCAATAGACTGGTCATAGTTTTATATAGCCTATTTGAATTAGAGTTTGGTAAAAAAACAGATAAAAAGATAGAGATATACTAAAGTACTGAGGTTATGCTATAAAGTAGATGCTAGGATTTAAGTAAACTCTACAAGAGCATAATAGTTTAATGATTAAGTTCTGACTGCAAGTGTTGGTTCTGTTATAGTGATATCTAGATCAGTTGTAAAAATAGATACAGAAAGCTCTGAAGGGTTTACCTTAAAGATAAAATAGTTCTAAAATTGAGATGATAATCTAGGCATTAGATATAACATAGTGAAGTTAATAGATTTGCAAGTTCAAAGAGTTTAAAGTAAAATACCCAAACAGAGATATTAGATATAGCAATTAGTAGAGAACCTTCAGGTGGACTCCTTAAATAGGTAATATAAAAAAGTTATACATATAACCAATTGTATACTCTTTTTGTAGTAGTTTATTGAACTACATTTACCATTATTAAATAAAGTTAAAAGACTTAAGAAGTCACCTTAATACTAAAAAAAATAAAATAAAATAAATATGTATTAAAAAAAAAAATTTATTTTAAATTTTTACTAATTTTGCTAATTTTTATTTTCTAAATAAGACTAAAACAAATATATAAAGAAACTACAAACTACAATAAGTTTACCGGGCATAGAAGACTAAGAAACTGAGGTGACAAAAACCCACTTGGAAATTCCTGAGTAAAGAGGTAGCATGAACTTTCAATGATACCATTGGACTGGTTGAAGCCTATGAAACACCTTCATAGGAACTGAAAATTAAAACTGGATGGCAAATATGTGTAGAGGAGCACATAACCAACCAGGCCACCAGGTTCGCCAGAGGAAAAGGATACAGAAGTATATTATACCAGGCCATCTGGATTGGTAGTCTGGAATGAGATCGATAGTTTTGAGTTGCGGCTAGTAAGAGATGATGGAAAAGATGCTGGAAAGATGAGTACTGGGGTTCTAGTAAACTTTACAAGGGTAGAAATAGTGTAATGTAGTAGTTAAACAGATAGCCCCTGTGACTGCAAGTGTTAGGTAACTATAGCGTATTGCATAAAACTAGGTCTAGATGTGTGGAACATAAAGGTTCTAGTAAGTTTCCTATCAAGAATAAAGTAGTCCTAAGGAGACCGATAAGCATCAGGAACTTGGATAGGCAGTGCCTTGAGATGTTCCTATGATACAAGAGGAATTGCATATGCAGAAGGTTTAAATAGGCAAGACCCCTAATTGGCTTGCAGGTATGGCAACTAGTATAGAACTTATATAGTAATGTGTAAGCGAACTACTTAAATTAGGCACCAAAAGTGCACATGTGGCTAGTTGTAACCTCCAATATAAGGTGAGCCCTTGGTGGCATGCCATGTTCTAATATACTTGAATAAAAACATTGTAACTCCCAAGATAAGGACTTTAACTAACAAAAAAAAAAAATAAATAAAAATAAAAAAACCTCAAACTTAGATCAACAAACTTAGATCAACAAACTTTATTTTAGTTTCTAGAAAAAAAGACTTGGTATACAAAATACAATTACTTTATTTTAACAATAATATAAATAAATATAAGATAATACAACTCTTTCTACCAATTACTAAAATACAAACTCACAAAAAAAGGAAATTGTATTTTATACAAAAACCAGTATTAAAACAACAGTTAGAGACTTAGACAAAAAGAAAGAGCACTTAAAACAAATCTAGTAAGTGCAATAGTAAGGAAAATGAAAATACATAACAAATAAAAAGAAGACAAGCTTGATGAAACAGAAACCAAAAAGAAAATTTTAGAAAAATAGTATTGATTTGAAATTGCAGATCATTTTAGACCATGTGAGCATATGAGGAAACAAACAAACAAACATGCATGAAAATAGGCAGAATAGACACATAAGTATTACAAAGTGCATGTGATAGAAGCATTTAAAAATAGTTATATAAGTACAGTCAAATGTCAATATAAATAAAATCAGAAGAGTTTATAATACTAAAGTTGGTAAGTAAAAAAACAAAAACAGTACTAAAACTTATAGATAGTAAAGAGTTAGAACAAGAACTAGCAAATAGAGACAACTACTTTAATGTAAGAGATATAGTTGTAGTAGAATTATAGAAAACAGATTTAATAAAGATGATAATGCTAAGAAAAATATATGAAACAATAATTAAAGTAGATATAAAAAACTCAACTAATATAGAAAAATAGATAGAAGAAATAAATCATGTAAGCTAATATCCAATAGCAGTAGAAAGTATAAGCAGTAAGAAAAATCAAATATTATCAAAAGAAGAAATAATTATACCAAAAATATATATAGAAAAGATGAGACAAATAATAGATGCAGTTAATATAATAATAAAAAAAAAGAACTATAACAAAATATAAGTAAAGAAGAAAAAGAATGACAAAAAAGAAGAAGAAATAAAAAAGACACAAGTATAATGACAAAAACAACAATAGACAAATATATAAAAGAAGAAATTAAAGCATTAAAAACAAATATAATGTAACAAGATTGTCAAAATATAATAATAGCAGTTAGAAGTCAAGAAGAAAAAGAAAAAAAAAGAAATAAAACTATAAAATAAAAAGAAGTAGCTTTATAGAGACACTATTAGAACAAAGTATATAATTATCTGCAAACAAAGATTGCAGCAAAAAACTAATATATGTGACAAAAATACTAGCATATAATGTACCAGACAGCTCAAAAGAAAAAAGAATAAAATTTGTAAAAAAGACTACTAATAACTAACAAACATGTGATAGAAGTCAAAGAAGTATTCAAGAAAGATAATGCTTGGATTATAGTCAATTTTGATTGTAAATATAACAGAAAAAAAGCAATTAACAAGATTCAAAAAAAGCATAATAACTGGTTTAGAATAATTCCTAACACAGAAGAACATGAAAATAAAAGTAAAAGAAATGAAAAAAAAAACAAAAAAGAAAAAAAAAATAATAAGAGAAAAAAAATGCAGAAAGAAAAAGGAAATAAAAAGCAAAAAAAATAGTCAAAGAGAAGAGAACACAGATACAAAAAGCAAAGAAAACTTAGTAATGCTTACAATATAGAACTTATAAAAAAAAAATCTTAAAGCAAGGGGTCAAATATCTAGTAAGAAAAGTAGAAAATATATCCTTATACAAAATAAGAAAAAATATATATAGGACAATAGTAATAATTAAAGTTAAAAAAAGGCTAAACAGATATTTCCATAGGTAATTGTATTAAAAAATAAAAAATTAGCAAAAATGATAATAGAAGAAGAAGAAAAAAAAGAAAAAAAGAAAAAATCAGTTTATAGCAAGACTAAAAAGAATACCAAAAGAAATATCTAAACTAATTCTTCTAAGAGAACTCAAGATTAGAAAGGCAATAGCAGTATATATACTACCAAATAAATAAGAAAAGCCAAGAGATTATGTAGTAATATCATTCAAAAGCTAAACAGACATGAATATGGTTATCAAAAAAAAGTTTGGTATAATAGAACTTTAATGTTCTAAAAATGCAAAACCTAAAAAGATGATAAAAAAATACATGAAGGTAGTAGCAGCAGAGAGCAAAAGATACAAAAGAATAAAAGAGAGATACAGAAAGATACAAGCTCAAAAAAAGAACAGGTAATGCAAAAGATCTAATAAATAGATATAAATAAAAATTAAGTTAAAAGAAAATAGAAGTAATTGGAGAAATAAAGATTACAGAAACAAAGTACAAGACAAAAGAAATATAGCAACTAAAGACCAAAGTCAAAAAAAGATAAAGAAGAAAAAAATAATCTAAAGAAGCATAAAGCTTATAAACAAAATTTTTATTTTACTAATTAAAGATTTAGAAAATAAATTTGCAAAACAAAATTTTATTAAAAAGATAAAAATATTATAGAATAAAATTTTAATATTAGTATTTTAATTTAATTTCTTGAATATATATTTTATTATTAGTTATTATTTATATTAATTATAATAAGTAGAGAAAAAATAATTATATATATTATAACACTTAATACTTAATACTTGATATCTAACACTTAATACTTAATGCTTGATATCTAATGCTTGATGCTTAATACTTAATATTTAATAGTTAATGCTTGATGACTAACACTTAATACTTAACTCTAATAATTTTGATTCTGTATTATATCTGATAAATAATTTCAAAATTTCTATATATCTAAATATTATTTAATTCAATATAAGATTTTTTTTTATATATATCTGCTAAGTTGTTACTTATTCTAAAACATATTACCTAATTATAAAGTTCTAGATGTTTTCTGTTAATTAATTTACTTATTTTATAATTTTTGTTAACAAAACTAACCTTTGTAGAATTTATTAAACTCTAATACCAACTTTATAACATATCTTTAATATTTATAATATATTTCTGTTTTGTTCTCAGACTTCCAATCCAAATAGTTTAGTTAAATTGTAACCTGTTTCTGATATATTAAATTCAATCTAATATCTTTTTTTTCAATTTGATTCTGACAGTCTAGTTAGTAATACTCTTTATCAAAAAATTCTTAACTATCTAGTTTTTTTATATTAATATCTATTTGTTAAATCTGACCTTTACAATAATACTGTCAAAGATTCATAATATCTCTTTACTTAGGTCTTCCCAAATGAGTTTCTGTTTTCCCAATTCTACAGATTTATATGACCACAAAGACTTATCTTGAATTTGCACTACCCAATACCATTTTGCATTCCTTTGTATAAAAAAAAAATCGTCAAAAATAGACAAGATTATACATAATACAGTATAATAATTATATTATACATCCGCATGCACTATCAAAATATCCATATTATCCGGCAATTATTTTACAAGAAGGGTGGTTTGGCCCGCGAAATACGGTACTATTATCACGTAATTATATGAAGGTGTGTCTGAAATGTGTGATAGATTGATTTCAAACTTTTGCCTATGAAACCATCCTATGAAACTGCTCTTGGTGCTTTAAGAAAATCATATTTTTGGTTTAACAATCAAAATCAATTATTGATCAATTAGGTACGTACGTACGTGTATCATTCTCATCAATTATAAATTTTTTTTGATTTTTCTCTGCTTTCTGAAGGTCCTTAGACACCTTAGTATCTCTCACATCTTTTAAAGCCAGAGTTATCATTCTACGGAAATCAACGGCTATAGGCCCTATATAATTCGGTCAACAGGAGGAAACGTTGATGTTACACGATTGCTTTACACACGGTGTGAAACACATAAAAAAAATTATTTTACAATACTTGAACGATCTTGATCAGTCTGCTAGTAGATGTTATGGTTATAATCCAACACCATTTTTATTATGATAAAAATGATGGATTATAATCATAACATTTACTAGCGGACTGATCAAGATCGTTCAAGTATTGTAAAATAATTTTTTTTATGTGTTTCACACCGTGTGTAAAATCAAATCGTGTAACATCAACGTTTCCTCCTGTTAATTCGGTCCTTGAGAGTTAACACACTTCGTTGCTGCGTACGTCACCTGTGGTGTTACCCAACCCCGGGTCCCGCGTTGTAGGACCCCGACTTCGATCCGCAGTTCCCTATCGCCACGGCTTCATCAGTTCCCTTTCTTATTTGTATTTAACTTCCATTTTAATGACCTTTTTCTATTTAATCCTTAATTTTAGCGTCTTTATTGACGGATTGACCCTATCTGGTCGTCCCTGACCCTATGGTTATGCGTTCATACATATGAATCTTGTTCTTTTTTGGTTTATCTAGATCCTTACTGATCATTCAATCGTGGTCCTAGCGATTATAAATTTTTCCAAACCAAATAATTCCCCGAGCGTTGTCCCCAGTTGGATTCGAATCCGCGACCTTGCAATTGTGACCCAAGAGTGCTATCATCAATGGAAATTTCAATTTGAATTTGAATTATTTTGCTATATTTTTAATTTAACATGTAATTTTAATTATTCGGCGATAAGTAGTGCTTGCCAAATAACTATATAGCATTGTACGTATTAGTAATGTAATTTACCAGCATTCCTGATTTTATTTTATAATTTATACGTATGGAAATTGATATTTTCACATTCTAAGGGTTTGGTTAGAATTTAGAGTTAGCAGGAGTGTGACAATATCAAAAAAGGGTGTGAAAATACCAATTCACATAAACATAATATTGTGTACTAAAATTATAACGTTTAACACATTTCGTTACAATGTACACGTATCAATATAAAAAAATTACAACTTTATTTAAAAATATATCGATATTAAAATTTATCAAGTTTATTATAAATGTAAAAAACATTAGCAAATTATTAGAAAAATCTTTTATTAAATTTTACTAATAACTTAATTTTACTAATAACTTAATGTGCAAATATTAAATAAATCTTTCTCTAATGTCACATGTTTCTATGTAGATAATAGTTTCGTGTAATAATACGAAATCACTCACCCATGCACAATCCTATTTTTTATACAATTCTGTTCATCTCATTGAGATGATCGAATAGTACAAAGATCGTTCAGTAGTTGATGAGATATGGATGACTTTTTATTAATGAATTTTCGTTTATACGTTACTGTATTTTATATAAATAATAATAAAATTCGCTGATCACATGTGATTTTTGTACAACTGAATGTCTATTTTGGTAGAGTCCCTGATCGCTATTCCAAAACTAACCGACAGCCATCCAAGGATGTTGAAGTAATTCTTCGGCTGAAGGACGGTGTTGTGGTGATCTTGTAAAACACTGTTTAAGGAAGTCAATTCCCAAATCTGATATTTGAGAAGGATCAGGTAACGGTGGATGACCTGTCACTACATGGTACATTACGGCCCATTCATTATCTAAATTTGACCATGGACGTCGTCCTGTTGACATTTCTAAAACGCAACAGCCTAATGACCATATATCCATTGATCCTTTACGGCCTTTTTCACCGCCAGTTATGACTTCAGGTGCCTATATGAACAAGATAATCAATTAACATATTCACTCATATGTAAACTTAAAATATAGGAATGCTATTCAATAGACTAACCATATACATAGGTGTACCAGTTAAACTATTAACATTCGTCCCTGGACCCGTGGTTGTACGTCCCATTGTCCTTTGATTTTTTGCGAGAATCTTTGCAGCTCCAAAGTCAACAAATTTAATAGTTCCCATATGGTCTAACAATATATCTTTAAAACAAAAAATAAAACTTTTAAATAACAAAACTTAAAAGAAATTTAAATAAAAAAAATTAAAATCAAAACTTACTATCTGGTTTTATGTCTCTATGTACTATATTATGTTCATGTAAATAGATTAACCCTTGCAACATTTGAAAAGCATAAAATTGTACTACTTTCTCATTTTCAATACGCCCATGTTCGAGTTGAGATGCCAGAGATCCACCTGAGCAGTATTCCATAAATATGTACACTCTATCTCTATGCACTTCAATACCATAATAAGATACAATATTAGGATGATCAAGCATTTCCATAACAGACATTTCATCCTTAACTTGTTTATAAAGTTTGGTAAGTGAACTAGGATCATGAAATCGAATCTCCTTAACAGCCATAAGATCACCTGTATCCAAGTTTACTGCCAAGTAAACCGAACCAAAGGTACCACCACCAATAAATTTTCCTTGTTGCCAACGAAGTGAAATATTAGAACTAGATGACGCCAAGAAAACAAGTGGTCTATTTTGCTGATCTTCTTCGAGAACTTTTCCTACAAGTCGATGTTCTTGTTCTCTTTGTGCGCGCTTGAATTCTAACTGGCGTATAGCAGCTATCAATCCTTCTTGCGTAGCATTAACACATTCACCAATATGTATTTGACCACGATATTTCTTCACTTGTTGAACAATTGATTGTCCCATATCGCCATTTCCAACAGATCCTTGACGTTGTTGTTCTTGAGCTTCAAATGATGATCTTGCACCCATAATATCTACGTGGGAAATAAATAGTCTCATACACATACCGACTTTACTACGTAACATTGCAAACTCAGATTCGGTCAGACTCAAAATATTGTTACCACGATTAGTTGCCATGGCAAATTCTAACGCAATCACGGCCCATCGGAAGGTTTTACGATCAGTTGGGACACAATCATCACATATAAAACTAACCCAATCAATAGACATTCTAGTTAATTTGACATTCAAGTGAGAACGCCAAGCCTCACGATGAAGATAACGAAAAGCGCGTTGACCGACTTCGGTAGCAAAACTAAAACAATTTTCAACTAAGTCTTGGCATTCTCCATTTCTTGTCCTATTACGTATTGTATTGACACTATCAATTATTTTATTAACTAATTTATAAATAGTCTTTTTAATCTTTGTCGCTTCACGATTAGCATCAGGAACATTTGGTCGTGTTTCCGTCAATACTTTAATGTAACAATTATCTACAGATTTACGAAAACGTTGCTTGCACGCTTGTAATCGGTAAGCCCCATCAGCCACTAATCTGGTATGATGAGGTTTGAGGTCAAGGTTAAATTGCTCCATCGATACAGCCATGACAACACCATTCCATTCAAAACTAACTCTGGGTGACAGTATGACCACGTATTCAAGGCCTTTTATCTCGCTATCATCATCAGGTCTTTTATCATCAGGTTTTTTATCATCAGGTCTTTTATCATAAGACGCAAGAACAGATTTGAGCAATTTTTGTATCTGTTCAGGACGATCGTGAAGAGAAGGTTCAACAATAAAACATACACCATCATCATTAAAAGTATCAGGATATACAAGAACATGATTAGTACGTTCCAATCCTTCTATGAAAGTAGGATAATTCGTATCATCAATATGATATTCAGCTGCATTTTCAAGTTCACCCAAAAGGAATCTACACAAAATCATTTAAAAAAAGTGTTGTTTTAGAAATAATCAAATATTTGATAGCAAAGCGATGAATATCATAACACATGCATACTTTGTGAAACGTAACAACTTTCGAGATCTCAATCGTACACTGTCCAGGATTTTGTTATATACTTTCGATTTATTTGCGCAATCGAGATCATTAGGTACATGGTCCAGTTCGGAATCAAAATAAGTTATGACACTTTGGATTAATTTGTTCGTAAGCATGCTATAAAATTGGTTGAAACACGGTGAGAAATTGGTAAACGTTCGTTTACTTTCTTGATATTGGAAAATTCTAATTTGAAAAAAAAACCAACACCAGCATTACTTCAATCACTCATTCACGTCATTTCAAATACTCTCTAATACATCAATCTTTGAGTATAGAAAATAGATAATGCCAGCCAACAAAATACATCATACCTAAGGTTTACCGATAACATTCCAAGTGAGACCACTTACCAAAATTGTTCGGCAGTCTCAGTTTCACCACCTGCAATGTGGCGACAAATTCCACTCAAAAAAGCCCATTCAGAATCTAAAATTTCCGCTTCTTTAAAGAAAACAGTTTTATAGCCAGATTTAATTTTTAATTGTAATAGCGTTAAATAAAATCTTAACGATTCCAATAACACAGTATCATAATTTTCATCAATAGAAGACGGTATCATCCATCCTTTTGTAGGTTTAACAAGCTCAAAATATTGATGTTTTATCTTACAAGCCAAAGAAAGTGAAATTTGAAAATCATCCATCATCTGTTGTACCATCATCGTTGTAGGATCATTAAGAATATTAGCATATTCAAGTAAAAGTTTCATACACTCTTTCATGAGTTTTGTAGGGAAATTTAGAAGTTGAGGTAATTCATCAATATAAGGAGGTAATTTCATTTTCTCAAATATTACAGCATTTTCAATCATAACGCGTTTAGCTTTTAGTAAAAGGGAAGTTAATGTAGAAAGTGTACGTTTTTCGAATGTCTGTTTTAAACTATTTTCTTTTAATATTCGTTCAAGAAAAGAAGGATTCTCAGCATCAGCTGGAGCATCCTTAGGTCTGGCAATTTCTAGATCATCACTTCCGGTCCAGTTTTGCAAAATTTTTAATTGCGTTTGAAAACTTCTAGTCACTGTAAGCCAAGAATTTAACGCATCCAAATTGTTTTGAAATTCTGGTGACTTATATAAAGCTTTATCTGTCATCATTGCTCTACGTGAAGGATAAAGGCTTTCACATACATCAACTTTTCGTAGAATTTCAACAACTTGATCAAAAGCTGGTACATCACCAGGTTTGACCTCAAAATCTATAACTTCCTTAAGAACTTCGTCAACCTGTCGACGACTTTCATTTAAATCATTAGGCAAGCGACGTAATGTCGTGTTTATTTGAAACCATAGATGATAAGCAATGTTAGACGCCTGCCGTGAAGTGCCAGACAGACGACGTTTTTCCGATTTAATGACTTCACCAGTAAGGACGGAAGCCAAAAAACTTTGCCATTCCATTCTTTCCTTTTGCATATCATGAGATAATTGTGAATTTGGATTTAACGTAGGATTATCCATATGATCCTGACTTTCAGCTTCCACAGCATCGTTTGTAAGAAATATATTATCACCATATTCTGATGAATCAGAATCATCGGATGACATTTCGTCCAACTCAGAACCACTATTATTTAACCCACTAGGCCGTTCATCTGATAAATAAGGGCTATGGTCACCATTCGTAGAATCTGGACCCCAGCTATTACTTTGATGGAAAGTATGACGTCTAGAATATTTTTCATTTACAGGACCAGTATAAGAATTTGATTTCTGATTGATAGGTCGACGTATTTCTTCTTCATCTTCATCGTCATCTTCATCTGGATCACCCATTTGACCTCGTCTTCGTCTTCGTCTTGAATTCCTGTAAACGAATCGCAAAAATGTATTAAAAAAGGGTATTACAACACAATAAATGATTTATCAAAGATGAAACAGACATATTTACCCAATATTCTCAAATACTTCTGCATCACGTAAATGATGTACGTTATTTTCCGAATCATAAACAAAATCTTCGGAAACTATGTGAATACTTTTATTAAAACGCACCATGTCTTCAATCTCTTCAGTATTATATTTTGACCTTGTCATAACAAAATATGTTGTCTATAACGACAAATAAACATCATAGTAAAAAAAATAAGTAAATAAGATAATTGTATGGCAAAAACAAGTCTTCTTTTATTATAAAAAATCAAATAAAAGTTAGACCTTACCCGATTGCTAAGCGATTGAGATACAGAGCCGCCTTGACTTTTTATCATATGTTCTAGATTTTGTTTTTCAGATTCTTCGTAGCCATACAATACAAAGTTCTGACCTTGAAATGGTTTTTGTGGGTCATGACTAGTTTTACCATTATTACGACCATTTCCAAAACTCGGTGATCTGCTGAAATTTAAGTGAGAATTATCACCCCTTTCTGGCAAAGTATCTTCTTCGTCTTCGTCATCAAAGGGTGTGTTAAAACGAACAGAAGGTTTCATTTTTTTGATATTGACTTTTTTTAGAAATGGCTTTAATTTACAAATTTGAAGGTTTGACGAAAAACTAGAATGTTAATATCTACAAAGTTTTTTGCATTTGTCATGAACACGTCTTTTTCAATTTTTATTTAAGACGGTATATATATGTTAATTTTATCTGCAAAAAAACGTGAATATAATATAGATAAAGCAATTTTTTAATCTTGTAGTTTCACACGCCTAGCCGATTAATAAAAATTAAACTCCTTATTGATATTCTTTCTAACCAAAAATGTCAAATTTGTATAGTTTATATAAGATTTTCATTGTCGTACATGGCAAATACACAAAAAGTTATATAATTTACTATAATCTTAACGTCAAGCTAAGAAAAATATATTGTTAATAAAATTATAGATTTATCCTACAAGAGGTAACTGTGTATCATCAAACCCACAACGTATCAATTTTCCTTGTTTTGTTCCAATCAATAAGAAACGATCGTCAACATCCATAAAGGTAGGTTGTTCGGTCAAAGTTAACAGCCTAAAACCCTTAAGAGAATCGACGCCTTGACCAGGTTCAGTTAAAAATTTGACACTACCACCAGGTTTCACAACGCAAATAGGACCAGTTGATGAACAATTGCTTAAAACAGAACGTCCTTTACCAGCAAGGCAACCGCACCATGGAACTACAGCAGGTGCATCCATTTTCCAATTGAAAGTAGGTGGTTTTGTTACATCTATCTCAAATGTATCTGGCACGAATTGCCACTTCAAAAGATAAATAAGGTCTTGGGTGGCACATAGAATCCATTCTCTGTTAATGGCCGCACTATGCAATATGTCATCAAAAACCATTGGAAGAAACGAATATTGCTGTATAACCTTGTTTTGTGTCACGGAAAACACCTGAATAATGCCATCGTTATGAAGTGAAACTATAGTACTCGAATTAACGACTTTCACATAAAGTACCTATAAAAATATGTGTATATACACCTTATTAGATTATTTTAATATAAAATATTTTAAAGCAAATATTATTTATCAAACAAATCCCCACCCCACCCCGAGTTTCAAAATAAGTTAGCAATTTGGTAGAACGCCAGTCCCAAACGTTAATTATACCATCGTCTGAACCAGAAACCAAGATTTCTTCTCCTATATTCACACAATGAAGTGGAACTCGTTTATGACTTACAAGCACCACTTTGGAATTTCCTTCACGAAGATTATAAACGTGAATAAACCTATAAAATTCCCACTTAATCCATATATCGATAGATGCAATCATAAAATTTCATAAAAAAAAAATAAATAAATAAAAAAGAAAAAGAAATAGCTTACTCCATCCGAAAGGATACAGCAACTACCCATTTCTTTGGCAAAAAGTCTACTTCTTCTGCCATATGGTTTAATGATATAACAGATAAGCAGAGACCCTGCTCGACATCCCAAAATCGCATAGATCTATCCCAAGCGAGGCTGACAGCCATTCCATCCTTAATTGCGACAAAAAAAATTCGACTGGAATGTCCTTTCAGATAATCAACAGTTTGAACACGCCCACTTCCCCAATTGTTTTCGCGTTTAAAAAATTTACGATACAAAGAATACCATAAGACAGGATTGGAAGGTGATTTTATCGGATTAATGTCGTGATAGGCTAATTCGAGGCATTTTCTTTTCCATATGATGGGATCGTTAGCAAAATTTCTCCAACGCTTGCATACCTAAAAATGATTTTATAAAATCATGAATAATTAGTAATTAAACAATCTTTAATGTTCAAAAGTTCACCTACAAGTTGACATTGCATCAAGCTTTTGACAGAAAGAAAACACAGAATTTGAATACTAAGTTCTTCAGGTAAAGAAGAGACAATATCGAAAGTAAAATAGTGCATATTATTTCGAGTTAATTTTCAAGGGCAAGAAAATAAACGTTCGCTTAGAATTTTTTTTAAGGTTAAAGTATTTATAATAGTTTCAGAATGACTATTGCTAATTTTCACCCTAGGTGATACACCTGGTTGTATAAAAACCAATCAGATCGGCGGATCTTGTAGAACCAAAGTAAAGTGAAGAAAAGAAAAAAAAACAAATAACTCAAATAACTCAAGATTTTATTATAAAAACTATGCTTCGACTTCTAAGCAAAAATTTTCAGCATCAAATTTTACATATAAATAGATCCTTTTAATCTGATCTAAAGCCAACCCTAACCCCTAACCTTAAATTTATTTTACTTGTAATAAAAATTTTATAATACCGGATGATTATCACCTAGGGTGAAAATTAGTTATAATCAGAATAAGAATTCAAATTTGGTAAGGTATCATATTTAAATAATCATTATCCTTACGTCCTAAATCCACGTTTGATTTGTCTCACGTAACACGCGAATTTGCTTCAACTTCTACACATCAGCCCAAACACGAAGATTAAGTTATCTTGGCTTTTTTCATGACAATAAGATATTCGTCATAGGTGTCATAAATGAGCAATACGTAGTACATACTAGAGTGGTAAACTAAGTAATCAAAACTATATTAGCAAATTATAGAATATTGATATGATATATGAAATAATTTGTTATGTCACACAAAGTTCGATTTCTACTGTCCAAAAAATATAGTTGCTTGCTGTATGTTCATACTTCTGTACTTACTATTGAAGACTAATATACAGTACAATATATGCATTTTTAAATATATAACAAATATATCTATTGATATACAAATATCATTATTTAACTAATGCTTGTCCCGCCTTGCATGCTTTAACTTTTTGTTTGGATACCTGGACAATTTTATAGACTAACGATTTATTACATGATTATTAAGCGATACATCTAAATGTTTCAAAAATCCAACATAATTAGGGATGTTCAAAAGCTTGTTGGAGCCCGATCCTTGAGTCGAATATTTTGAGACCAACTCAGAGCCTGTTCTAAACAAGTCCAAATGTAGGAAGTGACATTCCTGCATGTCGTTTGTTCCAATTGTGATTGAGAAATTGGAAAGACATTTATGCAATATTTTTTATTGTTAGTAAATTAGTGAACGATCTTAACTCAAAGACCATATTCCCTATTTATAAAGACCAGCCCGATAGAATCAGGCTTTTAACAGCCCTAATGTTAACACCAAACATAGTGTTACTTTGAAATAGTTCTACCGCAATGTTTTTAATCAAAGAAATAAATATAATATTTGTTCCAAGCTTTTAAAATTTTATGCGTTTTTTTATAATTAAAAGGTTTAAAATCATTTGATAGATCATTTTTAATTTTTCTAATAAAAATGTAATTATAATAAAATGATCAACATAGCTAGTATAGGTTTTGATTATACATATATAGGCATCTTCTATTTCTTTATAGTCATATTTACTTAATTACAAATTTTAAAATCAACTCATATACAGTATAAGACAGAATAAATATTCTAGCTTAGGCCATACAAACGTAATAAATTGGTTCTCATAATATAAAATTTTAAAAAGACCCAGCAACTCGGCTTTTAATTTTAATTTAAATTTTTTTTTTTTAATATTAATTTTAATTTTATTTTCAAAAAATTAATATATAAAAACATAAAATTTTTTATAGATTTTTTAAAAAAACTCACTTAGATAGTAAGTATACTTGAAATTTTTTTTAAAGTTTTGTAAATTTCGACCCGGCCAGGTTATGAGAACCGATTAATTAAGTTGCATGATTTTAATTAGTTTTTTAAAAATATATAATGTTACGGATTATGGTGAGATTCGGATTATAGTGAGGTAGAAAATCCTACTGGCCAAATTTTGCAGATCACCCATATGGGCGGATTTGACTCCAAATCCAAATTATGTGATTATTGCAAAATCGTTTGCTGATTGGTTAATTTACTTAGTATATTCTAGTATATTGGGGGTTTACAAAAGTATTCCAACTTTTATTAAAAAATATAATGCAGTTTGATATTTTACATTTATGTTCAACAAGGCTTTAACTCTATTGATTCTTTTCTGATTCTAAAAACCTTAGTACTTTTACTAGTAACATTGTCAATAAGTATATCATGTACAAATGCAGATCCATGTGTAATATGTGGCATAAATGACCTTCAAGAAAAATTTTGTAAATTAATATCAGATCTTTTGTCTAAGCTATGTGAAGTTCTGCTATTTCAAATTTAAGAGAAAAACTTTGTTTAGACAATCAGTTTTATCAAATTCATTATAATGAATTGATAGTATTTGATAGAGGCTTAAGTCCAAATAAAAAACAGAAATATAAATTAATTTCAGTTTACAATGTTAATAAAAAGCATAATGACAATGTTTCAAATAAACAATTCAATATTAGAAATTGTTATAAAAATAGTATAGATGTTCCTAAAGATAAAAACAAAACATATGAATAGTACTTAAAATCAGTTAAAGATAAAAATTCCAATGAACAGTTAAGTGTTAAAAATTATTACCAAAATGGAATAGGTATTCCTAAGAATGAAAAAAAAGTATTTGAATAGTATTTAAAATTAGCAAAAGATAAAAATTCTAATAGAAGATTAAGTATTAAAAATTGCTACTTAAATAAGATAGACATTTCTAAAAATAAAAAAAAAGTGTTTGAATAGTACTTGAAATCTGCTAGCTATAAAAATTCTAATGACCAATTGAACATTAGAGATTGTTACTTAAATAAAATTGGCATTTCTAAAAATAAGAAAAAAGTACTTAAATGGTACTTAAAATCTGCCAAAATAAAAATTTTAATGAATAATTAAATGTCAGAGTGTTACTAAAATAGAATAAACATTTCTAAAAATATAAAAAAGATATTTAAATAGTATTTGAAATCAGCTAAGAATAAAATTAAATATTGAAAATTGCTACAAAGATAATATAGATATTTTTAAAGATAAGGAAAAGGCATCTAAATAGTTCTTAAAGTCTACTAATAATAAAAATCCAAACAAGTAGTTAAATGCTAAGAATTGTAACTAAAATAATATAGGCATTTTTAAAATAACTTTAATACCTGTAATATTTAATAAAAAAAATATTAGAAAAAAACCTTTTTTCAATGTGCAGTCAATATTAGAACAAAATAAATAATTAGTTGTCTTTGAAAAAAATTCTAAAAAAAAACTTTTAGAACTAATTATATATCATCAATTAGTTTTCAAAATGAGTAGTCTATTGTTCATATGTGTAATATTTGATTAAATGTTAATAATAATATTATTAATTTAAATTATTAACTATTTAATTAAAAAGTAGAGCTTATTAAATTAGATGCTATTGTTCAAGTATGTGATAAATCTTTACTTTATTAAGATGGTTATCATCAATTGGCTGCTACTAAATCTAAACTTACTCGAAAACATCAAGTTGCTACCTAGATAATTAAAATAATAAACATAATAAATAAGAAAATTAAAATCAGAACTTTTAGTATTAATAAAGTTATAAATTATTCTAGCTCCAAGGATAATGTTTTAGAATATAGTAAAAAAATAGTTATTGAATATTCAAAAATAGGAAATAGTGTTTATAAAACAATAAAATCTATTTTAAACATTCTTTTTTCTATTTGAAAAAAATATTCTCTGCCTATTCTTATTTCAGAAGATCCACTTAGATTAAAACTTGAAGATGATAACTATAATGTAGTTCACAAACAAAACCATGTAATAATAACTTTTTGGTTTTTAAATAAAGCTAATAGGGTTTTGAAGCCTAATCATTAGTATTGGTATATTAAATGATTTAGTTTTAAAATTTTTAATTGTTTATTATTTAAATTTTAAAAATTTTACTTTTATTATTTAGTATTTGCTTATATATTAGAAAAGAAAATTATAACATGTTAGTAAAGGTTGGATATATATTCAAACTACAACTTTTAGATCTTAGAAATAATAGTTTTTTTAATTATGAAAGTATTTATTAGCTAGTAAAATTGTATTTTTGTATAATTGAAAGTTTATGTATATAATAATGAGACTGAAGGTCCTAAATGCCAATTACTTTTGTTTGTACTGTAATTGTAATGTAATATCTTGTTGGAACATAGATCAAAATTAGGCTAATATAGGAAATTTTAAATATAATATTAGTTATATAGTAGAAATATTAAAATTTTAATTTTTAAATATTCTACTTTATGAATTATTATTAAGAATTATCAGCTCTAAATATAAGCTTATTAATTATATTTTATTTAATAAACTTGGCTTAAAGAAATCAATTTGGTAAAGTCAATTTAAGCTTATACATATAAGAATTTTAAAATTATGATGTAAAGCCAATTTTAATGATCGATTTGGAAGCAAAATATCTAAAGTTAAGAATTTATTTTTAATGATATATATTATATTGTAGCTAATTATTCTATATATTTTTAAATTTTTTTTTCAATTAGATATTAAAAAACTAGTCTTATTTTTATCAATTGATTAAGAAAATTATATACCCAACAAGTTGCATTTGCTTTTATGAATATTAGATGACTTAATAAAAAGTTTGTTTAGTAATTTATTTAAAAAAAAAGTTTAAAAAACAAATCAAGTCAGTTATTGAAAAAACATTCAAGAATCATAAAATACAATTTGAATTTTTTAAATTATCTAATAACAAATAGAATTGGACTTCATTAATAGACCCCAATAAAAAAAAAAATAAAGAAATTTCTAGTAAGTAAATTTGTTTTAGGCACTAATAGACAGAATATTGAACAGTTATAGCATAAATTTTATTAATTGTATAATGTTATATAACAATTACAACTCTTCAATCAAGAAATTCATTAATATAAAGTTAATGCAGAAAATTGGATTTGAGTATTTTTTGTTCAGCTTAGGGTTATGTAAATTCTTTGCAAAATATTAAACTTTATTGAAAAGCAGACATT